TCTAGGGTGGGTGGGTGGCTGTTTGTGGAGATAAGAAACCTCAGGAAATCCCTGTGGAAGGCAGACCTCCTGGGCACACCTTGAATGATAGCATGGGAAAACTGACTCCAAGGAGTCCACGTGGCGGGGCATGTATAACCCTCTCCTCATGCTGTGCTGTTTATACTAGAAGGAAGTCTCTGAGGACTTCAGCAGGTGTGAAGTCGACCCTCCTTCCTGCCCTGCTTCTTAAAGAGAAGCTGACACACAGGAGAGAACTGAACCTGGTCCTTTTCAGTGCTGAATTTTTCTAGGCATTTTATTTTCTCTGCCCAGTTGGAATATGTCTATCAATGTTGTCCAACAGAACTCTCTGCACTGATGGGACTATTCCCTATATATGCTGTCAATATAGGGTGGCTACTGAGCATTTGAAATGTGGCTAGTCTGACTAGTTGATTTTTAATTTTACTTAAAATTTAAATTGAACAGTGCAGTGTATGTAGCACATAAAAGTTCTCATCAAATGATAATTTGAAATGTCAACAAACACATTTGTATAGAACAGCACCATCCAATTCTTCTTTTCTGGGCTCTAATCAACTCTCTGCACAGCAACCAGAGGAGCTAACCAGGGCCCTGACCTTCTTAGAAATTTGTTAATGGGTTTCTGTCACTTTCAGGATCAAGTTCCCCATATAGGAGTTCTCCAGAATCTGTCTTTACTTATTGATGCAGCCTTGCTATCTACCCCAGACACACTATCCCTTGCTTTGCCCAAGCTGTTCCTGTTGCCTCAATCACCCTTTCCCCATGTACCACTATTTTCTTTGTCCAGCTTATTCCTACTTGCCCTTTAAGAGTTAGATCAGAAACTCTCCTCTAGGAGGTTGTTCCTAAATATACCTTTACCTATCTCCTCTGCTCCAGGCTGGGTTGTGTGCCTCTTTCTGGGCTCCTACCACCTCTCATACTTTCCTTTATTAAAACCCTGATCATGCAGTCTTATAATTATGGATTAAATCTCTTTTCCCTTCTGGATTGTGAGCTCCTAGAAACCATAGACAGTGTTATATTCATCTCTATCTTCAGTGTGAAAATTAATACAAGGAAAATTCTTTTAGAAAGGAGTCAGGAAGTGGGCTGGGGAAGCTCTCAAGCCCAGCACTCCGTGACAATTGCATACCTACAGGATGTGAGGAGCTTCCCAGGTGAATATTATTTTACTAACCCCACAGGGGTTACTAAGAAAGGCTTTCCTTCAGTCCTGGCAACTGTTCAGCCAATGAGAAACAGTCACAATGCAGCCAATGAGAAGCCACTATACTTGAGACTCCTACTTTACTCCAATGGACTTATGTTTATAACAGCCTTCCCAACTTCCTTCCTTTTCTATACAAGAGAGTGTATCTCTCCTTTGCTCTGGGCCTTGCCCTTTCTATGGTTTTGCTACAGTTCATTTGTCTCAGATTGCAATTTTCTGCTATTTCTGGATAAACTTGTTTTTATTGGTAAAATAACTGGAAGTTTTATTTTTTAAGGTTAATGCTAGTATCTGCACAGAGAATGGCTCAGAAAATGTAATCAAGGTTTAATTGTTCTAAAACATGCCAGGTTTTTTATTTACTGTAATTATACTTATTAAATGCATTTTAACCTGTCCCACCACTTGTGACTTGGAGCACTCTGTGTGGAAGGAAGGGCTGTTCAGGATTGTCGGAAAAGGAAACTGATGCTCAATGTCTATTTAAGTGATTTGCCCCAGATTATAAAGCTATAAAGTCAGAATTTGAGTAGAAGCTGGGTCCTCAACCCCCCCCCCCCCATTTTCCTATACCTAATGAAGCTCTTTTGTGGTCTTTAGCCCTCAGTAACCCCCCCGCCCCCATACTGAAATTCCTGTAGTCCTCACAGCCTTTATCAGTCAGTCATTAGGATTGATTTGTGAAAGCTTGTCTATTTTCATCTTGATGGTTGTGGTGACATGGCTTGTGAGTTTTTAAACTACTCAAATATGAGGGATATTTCTGATGAGTATTTTCTTTTTTTAATTGTAATTTTTAAAAAAGATTTTATTTATTTATTTGACGGACAGAGATCACAAGTAGGCAGAGAGGCAGGCAGAGAGAGAGAGAGTGGGAATCAGACTCCCTGTCGAGCAGAGAGCCCAATGCAGGGCTTGATCCCAGGACCCTGAGATCATGACCTGAGCCGAAGGCAGAGACTCAACCCACTGAGCCACCCAGGTAATTTTTTTATTATGTTATGTTAGTCACCATACAGTATATCATTAGTTTTATGGTCAACTAATCTTTGACAAAGCAGGAAAAAAAGATCCAATGGAAAAAGACAGTCTCTTCAATAAATGGTGCTGGGAAAATTGGACAGCTATATACCAAAAAATGAAACTCAACCATTCCCTTACACCATACACAAAGATAAGCTCTAAATAGATGAAAGACATCAACGTGAGAGGAATCCATCAAAATCTTAGAGGAGAATATAGGCAGTAACCTTTTCGACATCAGCCACAGCAACTTCTTTCAAAACATGTCTCCAAAGACAAGGGAAACAAAAGTGAAAATGAACTTCGGGGACTTCATCAAGATAAAAAGCTTCTGCACAGCAAAGGAAACAGTCAACAAAACAAAGAGACAGCCCATGTATGGGAAAAGATATTTGCAAATGACGTATCAGATAAAGGGCTGGTATCCAAGATCTTTAAAGAACTTCTCAAACTCAACACTCAAAAAACAAATAATCAAGTCAAAAAATGGGCAGAAGACATGAACAGACACTTCTCCAATGAAGATATACAAATGGCTAACAGACACATGAAAAAATGTTCATCATCATTAGCCCTCAAGGAGATTCAAATCAAAACCACATTGAGATACCGCTTCACACCAGTTAGAATGGCAAAAACTGACAAGACAAGAAACAACCAATGTTGGAGAGGTTGTGGAGAAAGGGGAACCCTGTTACACTATTGGTGGGAATGCAAGTTTGGTACAGCCACTTTGGAAAACAGTGTGGAGGTTCCTCAAAAAGTTAAAAATAGAGCCACTCTATGACCCAGCTGATTACACTACTGGGTATTTACCCCAATGATGAGTATTTTCATGTAACTTTTTGCCCAGGTTCTCGTGGTACCCACACTTCTTCCTGATTTCAGTGCAGGTGATTGTGTAGTTCCAATTTGTTGCCAAGTACTTTCTAGTCCCTCTGTTTTTCTGCTTCAAGGCTTTCTAGTCCCTCTGTTTTTCTGCTTCAAGGCTTTCTTTTAAGTCCTAAAAGGCTGCTTAGCCCTGGGCAAGCATAACCAGGGAATATGAGAGTTCAACCTGGGGGATGGAGATAATATGAAACAATGAAGATGGAAATCATGAGGTAAATGACCTAGTCTCCTTCTTCTTTGGTGGGACAATGCTGAGACATATTCTACACTGTTTTCAGAAGGTCTCTCTGGTGAGCTTATGCCCAGGAGTCTACTAAGGCAATCAACTCAATCTCAAAACCCTTCCCTCTTTCACTTCTCTCCCTCACTTCTGTTTCCTGGGCTTACATCCCAAGCAAATTACTAGCACCCAAGTCCTGACCTCAGTCTCTGCTTTTGGGGAACACATCTGAAGACATTACCTAGCTATACAGGAGCTTCTTTAGAGATAAGGCTTTGTCCTCTCAGTTTGTGCTTTAGCATACTGGACTTCTTGTAGTTTAACAGATGGTCCCTACACTCTGCCTTGCTCCTGCTGCTCCTTCTGCCTGCCACAGTCCTCCTTTCCTTTGCCTGGCTGACAACTATCCATTTTTCAAGACTCAGCTAGGGTATCCACTCCTCTTTGGAATCTTAACTGTTTTACCCCACCACCTCCCAATTTAAAGTTCCACCTCTATGATCCTGTAGCACTTTAAAGACTAGTTAACCTCTACCAAAGCCATTCTCTCTCTCTCTCTTTTTGTTTCTGTGACCACATCTTTTATTCAGTTAAGAAATGTATTGAATGTCCACTATCTGGTGGGCTAACTTCCTAGAAGTTAGTTACATGAGGCATATAAAGCCTCTTATCTCTGCGAGTGCCTTGAAGAGAAGGGGCCTACCTGGAATGGTACTTGTTAAAAAATTAAGTGCTCAATAGAACTGGTAGGATGTACAGGAGTGAACTTAGGAGTCATTTTTCATTCCACAAATATTTACTGAGCACTTATCTTGTGTCAAGCACTATGTTGTATTATGGAATATACCTAGATGAAGAGACTGACTCCAGGCAACAGGGAGTTCACCTTACCCTTAAGTAAGGAAGATAGAAGTGAATGATGCATAAAGTAGTCAGTGTTAGGCCAGGGTGGCACAGAGGACCTTGGGAGGACAGAGTAGCTCAGGAAAGAGTAATATTCTAGCTGGGTCTTGGAAGATAGTGGCGATTAACCACGGAGAGATGGGAAAGGGCTTCCTAAATATACTGAAAAATACAGCAGCGAAGGAGAAGCCCTTTTGGTGCTGTCGTGCGAGGGCGAGGAGCCCAAGTATGGGGTGGGGTGGGCACAGAATGATTGATTCTTGGTGCATTTCAGTTGAAAACCTAAGTTACGCAGTACCTCGACCAGGGCCAGGCGCGTTGGGAAATCAAGAAACCGCTCAGGCCCCTCAAACAGCGCCAACCTCAGAAAAGCCAGCCCAACCAGGTCTGTGGTCAGCAGAAGGACCCCCTCTGTGGCTGGCGAGCGCCGTCCCAGCGGACCTCGTCCTGACTAACCAGAAGCGGCTGAGCATGCTCAGTTGCCAGGACGCGGTGCCTCGGTGGCGGAGAGAGGTGCAGCATAGTCCCAGCCCCGCAGGCGCCTAGACCAAAGAGTGCTGGCGCCGCGGGGGCGGGGCCTTCGACGCACGCTCCCTCCCAGCCCGCCTCCCCGCGCACCCACCTCTCCTCCCCCCCTTCCCCCGCCGCCTCGCTCTGCCCGCCTGCACGCGGGCCGCCCGTTGCCCTGGCAACCGTCGAGCCGCGTCTTCCTGAGGGAGCTCTGTCAGCCCGCAGATCCCGTCGCCAGCTCCCCACTGCCCCGCGATTTTCCTGTGGGCTTAGAGGCGGAGGGACAACAAAAAATGGCGGAGCGGAGCCAGACGGCGCCTGAGGCAGGTCTGTGAGGGCGGTCGATCATGGGGAAGCTTTAAGGCAGCATGGCTGTCCTGGGTCTGAGGGGAGGGGGGACTTGGGCATGGCCCTACTCCTGAGGAGGCGCTCCGTGTATTTGCGCCTTAGAGCTGTGACCTCGGGGTCAGGGGTCAGGGGAGGTGCATACCGCTCTGAGTGGCGGGCATGGACCTCCGAGTCCTGGCGGGGGCGGCAGAGGTGTATGCGGGACTGTGCACACTTCTAAGTGAGCGTGGGCCCAAAAAGGGCTGGGACTCCAGGGAAGACACAGGACTCCAGTACTGAGGGGGCACCTGAAATGAGGCTGATCGAAGGAGTAGGGGGTACACAGTCCTGTGGAAGCATAAGAGGGCTCCATAAAGGAGCATGGTTTGGTGGAGAGGGTCTCTTAGACTGCGGAGGCAGGTGTATGTGGGGGGACTGTTACTTTAATATCAGGTAGTGCCACGGAAGGGGTGTATACACCGAGTATGTGTGTTTTGGGGGAAGTATGGTGCCTTAGGGTCACCCCTGAACACATAGAAACTATACAGATCCTCCTGTGGGTCCTATAAAGACAAGAGGCTTGAGGGGACACCCAGAGCCTCAGTCCTTAAGAACCTTTCCAAACGATGCTGGAACCTGAGTTTGAGTGTATATGGAATCAGTGCTCTTGAAGGTCATTCAGAATCAGAAGGGAGTGTATATCCACATATCTGTGGGTGGAAGATAGTCTTCAAGGTGCAGGAAGACTATTGGGAAGGGGGTCCCACTGTCCTATTCCTGAGGGGACCCCTTTGTGAGTTTGACTGGGCTTGGAGAGTAGTGACCTAAGTGTCTTACACGGTCATAGAAGAGAGCTAGGATTTTCACAGTCTTGTGCATGTAGGAGGGAGTTTGTACCTGAAAGGGTCTGGGACTAAAGAACTGAAGCTTTAAGACAAGTGATATCTGTGTGTGTAGCAAAGCAGTGGCTTTGGGGATATGTCTGTTGGTAAGTGATGGAAGTGATATACACAGACTTGTGTATGTGTCCTGATTAGGTATTTTCGTTACAAGAGTGACTCACTTGAATTATTCAGCCTTTGGTGGTGGGAAAGGGGGATAGTGGTTATGTTAAGACCATATAGTGACTGGAACTAGAAGCCAAATAAAGCTGTTGAGAATAATTCAGGAGATTGTTACCTCTCAAGATCTGCATGATTTCTCTTTCTTTCGTGGCATCTCAGTTTCTTCCACCAAGTAGTTCCTCTATTCTTTTTATAGTTTAAGTTCCTCATAACATTTTTTTATTCATTCATCCACTCAACAAATAATTTATTGAGTGCCAGCTACATGTCAGGTGCCAAGTTAGGTACTGGAAACTCTCTGTTTGTGATTCTCTTACCTTGTTCTTGTTCTTTCCCCCCCCTCCCCCCATCCCCCCTAGATTTACTGCATTTATATATATTGTAGAATTCATTTATTATTTTTATTCCTTCTTGTCTATTTTCTTCATTAGAATATAGGCTCCATGAAAGCCAAGGTTTAACAATCCCACTTGTCTAGAACTATACATGGTATACAGTAGGTTATTATTAAATATTTATTAAGTGAATAACTGAATGACCTGATAAAGTCTATGAGTTCAAGAAACTTTCTCTGAGGAAGTGATACTTTAGCTGAGATATATTGAATAAATGAAGAGAAGGATGAAGAGTGGTCAAGGCAGAGGGAAACCATGTGCAAAGACCATAAGGTAGGAGGAAACATGATGTGTTTAAGGAAATGAAAGGAGACAAATATGGCTGCATGTAGGGCAATAGGAGGAGAAAAGAAACTGAAACAGATCTTGTAGGCCTTGTATACTATGATATGAATTTTGATCAGAAATCTTAGGAATAATAGGAAGCCATCGAGGGCTTTTAAGGAGCATGACGTGATTAAAATAATGAAAAATATAACTGGCTAGTGTGGAAAGTACAAAAGGTACAAGAGTGGATATAGGTGGACCTTTTAGAAGGTGGCAATGGAGATGGAGAGAAGAAATTGAGAAATATTTAAGAGATAAAATTAATAGGATTTAGTGAAAGATGGGGATGAAGGAAAAGGAGGTATCAGGGCATATTCTAATTTTCTAATTTGTGCACTGGATAATTGGTGATGCACTTATGGAAATACGGAGCACTGGAAGGGATCTTGGCTATGTTTGATTGGGGATCATGTTTGGTTTTGGACATATGGAGTCAGGGGTATCATTTAACCATCCAAGTAAGTGGAGGGATTGACAACGCAGTTGAATGTGTAAGAGAAGTCTGAGCCAACGTGGAGATAATTACTGAAGTCGTAAGTGTAGATGAAATTGCCTAGAGGAAGAGTAGAGTGTGGGGAGCAGAGGCTTGGGATTAAGTGTTGAATACCTTCAATATTTTAGTGCTTTCCAAAGAGAATGAGGAGAATGGTTTTGAACAGATTAAATGCTGCCAAATGATATTAAAAGGATGACTGAAAAACTAGAGTTAGCAACATATTTAGCATTTTTGGTAACATTGATGAGAGAAAATTGGTGAAGGTAGAAGCCAAACCATTTAACTTCTGAATCACTATTAGTGGGTGCAGTCTTTGTTTCTTAATTTAGATTCCCGAGAGAGAAAAACTGATTGGCATACATCATCTTTCCCACCAGATCATGTCATAGATTGCAAGTCAGTGTAGGATTGACTGTTTCGGATTAGATGTCCAGATACTGCTGGCTGGAGTCGCCTGGTACAAAACATGTCCTTCTAGTGATTTCTCATGTTAGTAGGGAATAGCTAATGTTTATGGAATGTTTATTATATGCCAGATACTGTGCCAAGTGCATTGTATGTTTTAATCTACTTCAGCATCATTACTACATTCTTAAGTATTATCTCTACTATTTGAAGAAGTTTTGGCACAGAGAAGTTAAGCAACTTGCTCAATAACTGCAAGTAAGTGTAAGATTGTAGGATTTTGGGGCCTATTTTAGCATCATCCAGATTCATTATTTGGTTTTCTGTTAGTATTGCAACATACTACATATTGAACAAATAGCCAGGATGAAAATTATTGCCCCATAGGAAATGTTATTCTAAGATAAGCATATGTTAGCAAGGTGATGTGGAAAGAACTGGGATTCAGATCTTTGTTTAAAGCCTGTTTCGGTACCTTATTAGATGAGGACTTTAGACTCAAATTTTCTGTTCTAAAGTTCCCTCATCTTTAAAATGGGGATGGTATTTACAGGATAATTGTGCATACTAGAGGTAATATATCTGAAGTGCCCAATAAGCTATTTACTTAGTTCCCCTGAAGCTTGAATATAAAAAATTAAGATGCATTACCTATACTTTACATATAAAAAAAACTCGAATATAAAAAATTAAGATGCATTACCTATACTTTACATATAAAAGCAAGCTTTAAATATACAGTGATGAATTTAAGACATTCTGTTTTTTTCCACCATTGGTTTAATTTATTTGCTATCAGAAGAAAGGAATTGTTACCTGAACAGAGTAAATTTCTTAAAATTTCTTAAAAGTGTGAAGGGACAGTTAAACTTTTTTTTTTTTTTTTTCAAGCATGCAGATAGCTCTGTAAGAAGGTCAGGTTTGCAAAAGGAAGTTTCTTTAAACTTTAAGTAATGTACCTTAAAATGAGGACAAGAAAAAAAACGAGGACAAGAATGTTAGAATTTTTCTTCTTCAACAATTTGACTATGAATAATAATAAAAAAGAAACCTTATAGTTAATTAAATGTAGGAGTATTAGTCTTAGACGAGATTGCCCTGTTTCTTCTCCTTCTTTTCCAATTATCATAAATGAAAGCTTTCGTTTGAGTTACCGGGTTAAATTGCTTTCCTGTATTGTCAAGTTTGTTACTTTTGTGCAAGTCCATACTGACCAGAAATTTTAGAATGATGCAGTCTCTTAAAATGGACTGTACCTTGATCACTTTCTCTGTGAAATTGAGTCTTTAAAAAAAAAAATAACTTCATGGTATGTGAAATCATCTATAGACAGAATCTTGAAAATTTAAAAAGCCTTAGAGACAAGAAGAATCTTTTCTATCTTCTGTTAGTAGCTGGGCAAAATAGTTAAGTCTGTTTGCAAATTGGGGATAGTAACATCTACTTTTCAGGTAAGAATTAGAGATAGGTTTGGAAAGTGCATAATGTCTTACACCATCCTATCCCCAAAGAAATGATAGCTTAATTAGTATATGTATGTTTGTGAGTGTGTACACCTGTGTGTGTACGTTTTCCCTAAAGGCTTACTAATAAATTCACCTTTTGGAGAAGAGGAAATCCAGGGCTACAGTCCCTTATTTGCAGCCTTGAGTGCAAATATATTTCAGAGTTCAGATTGTTTTTGGGGATTTGGAAAAGTAATACAGCATATGAACTGTTGATTACATAATATCTCCATGGGGGGGGCGCCTGGGTGGCTCAGTGGGTTAAAGCCTCTGCCTTCGGCTCAGGTCATGATCCCAGGGTCCTGGGATCGAGCCCCGCGTCGGGCTCTCTGCTCAGCGGGGAGCCTGCTTCCTCCTCTCTCTCTGCCTGTCTCTCTACCTACTTGTGATCTCTATCTGTCAAATGAATAAATAAAAAAAATCTTTAAAAAAATATCTCCATGGGGTATGGGAAATTACCTTGTAATCAAACAACATTAATAGCACATCCACACTGAATGAATAGAACTTACAAATAACTTCATGTCAATTTAGGTTAAGTTTTGCCAACAAATTAGTTTTGGCACCAAACATTTGGTTTTTAGAGATTGACAGATTTTGGAATTGTGGAAAAGGGAATATGGATTTACATAACTTTTTCCCTTTTTAGAAATATTTTTAAAACTTTAATTTTTTTGTTACTTATATTCTGTAACATCTGTAAGTATAGCTTTATTAAAGATCTAAAAAGTACAGTATTGGGACAGAAAATACCTTTTGTTTGGGACAGAAAACACCTTTTGTTTCCCTGATGCTTATATGCTTGTTT